TCCACGCCTGGTATAGGTCCCTGAGAAAATATTCTTTAAAGAATCCACGCCTATGGAGGCCCTTAAAAAAGATTCCTTAAAAAATCCACGCCTATGGAGGCCCTTAAAAAGATTCTTTAAAAAATCCACGCCTATGGAGGTCCTTGAAAAAATATTCTTTAAAGAATCCACGCCTGGTAGTCCCTGAAAAACTTTTCTTTAAAAAATCCACGCCTTCTGGTAGTCGCTGAAAAAAGTATTCTTTAAAAAATTCACGCTTTCTGGTAGTCGCTCAAAAAATATTCTTTAAAAAAATGAGAAAATATTCTTTAAAAAATCCACGCCTTGTATAGGTCCCTGAGAAAATATTCTTTAAAAAATCCACGCCTTGTATAGGTCCCTGAGAAAATATTCTTTAAAAAATCCACGCCTTGTATAGGTCCCTGAGAAAATATTCTTTAAAAAATCCACGCCTTGTATAGGTCCCTGAGAAAATATTCTTTAAAAAATCCACGCCTTGTATAGGTCCCTGAGAAAATATTCTTTAAAAAGTCCACGCCTTCTGGTAGTCGCTGAAAAAATAATCTTTAAAAAATCCACGCCTTCTGGTAGTCGCTGAAAAAATAATCTTTAAAAAATCCACGCCTTCTGGTAGTCGCTGAAAAAATAATCTTTAAAAAATCAACGCCTTAATGTAGTCCCTGAAAAAATATTCTTTAAAAAATCCACGCCTTATGGAGGTCCTTGAAAAAATATTCTTTAAAGAATCCACGCCTATGGAGGTCCTTGAAAAAATATTCTTTAATAAATCCACGCCTATGGAGGTCCTTGAAAAAATATTCTTTAATAAATCCATGCCTATGGAGGTCCTTGAAAAAATATTCTTTAAATAATCCACGCCTATGGAGGTCCTTGAAAAAATATTCTTTAAGGAATCCACGCCTTTGGAAGTCCTTGAAAAAATATTCGTTAAAGAATCCACGGCTATGGAGGTCCCTGAAAAAAATATTTTTTAAAAAAATCCACGCCTATGGAGGTCCCTGAAAAAATATTTTTTAAAATAATCCACGCCTATGGAGGTCCCTGAAAAATATTCTTTGAAAACACCACGCCTTTTGGTAGTCCCTGAAAAATATTCTTTAGAAATCCACACTTCTTGTAGTCCCTTAAAAAAATATTTTTTTTAAAAATCCACGCCTTATGGTAGTCCCTGAAAAACTATTCTTTGAAAAAATCCACGCCTATGGAGGTCCTTGAAAAAATTTATTAAAAAATCCACGCCTATGGAGGTCCTTGAAAAAATTCTTTAAAAAATCCATGCTTCTGATAGCCCCTAAATAATATTTTCTCAAAAAATCCTAACCTTGTTATACCCTTTACCACACTATGGTACAGGGTATTATGTCTTTGTACATATGTTTGTAACAGGCAAAAGGAATCGAGATAGACCCTTGGTTCCTTTTGAGAATATGCATAGAATCACTTTCTGAGTCGATTTATGTATGTCTGTCCGTCCGTCTGTCCATCTTAAATTGTAAACAAAGTGCAGGTCGTATTTATGCTTCGAATTGGATGAAATTTGCCACAGGTCACTTATTTGGCCCAAGGACGAACCCTATTGAAATTGGGAAAAATCGGTTTAGATTTAGATATAGCACCCATATATATTTTCGATTTAGCTCCCATATATATTCCGATTATCTTTCGATTTGCACGAAATTTGGCATAGCGTAATGAATAAGGTCTAAAATGATGTGTGTTAAGCTTCCTGAAAATCGGTCCAGATTTAGATATAGCTCCCATATATATTTTCGTCCGATTTAAGGTAAATGGTGCACCAAAGTCCCTATATATCTTTTGATTTGCACGAAATTTGGCACAGCGTACTGAATTAAGCCTAGAATGATGTGTGCTAAGTTTCGTGAAAATCGGTTCAGATTTAGATATAGCTCCCATATATATTTTCGTACGATTTAAGGTAAATTGAGCACCGAAGTCCTTATATATCTTTCGATTAGCACGAAATTTGACACAACGAACTGAATTGTGCCTAGAATGATGTCTGCCAATTTTCCTGAAAATCGGTCCAGATTTAGATATAGCTCCCATATATATTGTCGTCCGATTTAATGTAAATGGTGTACCAAGGTCCCCATATATCTTTCGATTTGCACGAAATTTGGTATAGTGTACTGAATTAAGTCTAGAACGATGTGTGTTAAGTTTCGGTTCAGATTTAGATATAGCTTCTATATCTGACCAAATGAAAAATTTAGTATCGGTAGCGGAATGACATGGTCCCTTAAAAATGCGAAGTCTGTTAGCATTCATCTGTTGAATATAGCCAAAGTGGTGAAGGGTATCATATAGTCGGCCCCGTCCGACTTTACTACTTTCCTTACTGGTTTTTTCTTCTGAAATATAATATTTGTAGCCCTGTGTAATCTATAAACAAGAACAAAAAATGAGGACAAATATCACTTCGTTGCCGCATTTTGTCATTCGTTGCAGGCCAAGATATTCCGCTTCGGTTTTCTTTATTTAATTGATATACAATGTTTATTTACAATAATTTCCATTTAAATTCAACGTGATCAGGTTAAATGTAAATACCAATGAGCATACATGCACACACACATATATATGTGTGAATGCAATCGTTCACACACATTCACACACTGGGACAAAATAATGCGTTGTTCGATGATTACAAATGGAAAAAATGTGGTTATTCCTTTTTGAATTGATCAGCAAATGTGACCGAGTGACTGACTGGTTTTCTTTCTGGCTATGGGGTGCGACAACAACAGTGTTGGGCCGGCCGATAAGATTCGACTGATAAAGATATGGATGTGACTTACAATATAAAATTCAAATTTGAAGAAAATTTGTCGATTTTTTTGCTGTATAAATAGGTACAGAAATTGGAAACTGATCGAATTTCTTCAAATGAAAATAGAGGGGTCGGGGGCTTTGGGTGTTTATCTCAAATTCCCTGATACCCAACAAATTAAAAGAAGCTACTGGTATTTCAAAGATAGTGCAATTATCACCCAACATACATGTTCCAAATTTTATTTAACAGCCATTTAATGAAATTCGAAGAGCTCCCAATCGCGTAGGTCGGTTATCAGTGACATGAAGTTACCAAACCAATTTGTCTTATTTTCTAGGCAAATTACCAAAATCCCCAACTAAGTAGTTAACAATTAAATGTTGAATTTTTAATGCTGATATCAAGAGCCAAACATTGAATACTTTTTTTCAAAACAAAGATAAAATGTTGGGTGTTATCATAGATATTGTTTAAATTCCAATAAGAACTGATAATACACAAGGGTCTGACAGAACTAAATGTATTACTGCTCTGACATCGGCTGCATGAATTTAAAATTAAAAAATTACCTCAAAAAACTGTCTTAATTAATCTTATTGTGACTTGTCGAAGATTATGGAGATATTCGATGACGGGGGAATTATAACGACAAAAAACATGGAAAATTGAAATGGAAATTAATTAAAAACAAAATCGCTTTTAATACAAATGACATCAACACAAATTAATTTTAAATCGAAAAAAAGTAGATACCATTTTTTAAAAAATATTTTTTCAAGGGGTAGGCGTGGATTTTTTAAAGAATATTTTTTCAGGGACTACCACAAGGCGTGGATTTTTTAAAGAATATTTTTTCAGGGACTACCACAAGGCGTGGATTTTTTAAAGAATATTTTTTCAGGGACTACCACAAGGCGTGGATTTTTTAAAGAATATTTTTTCAGGGACTACCACAAGGCGTGGATTTTTTAAAGAATATTTTTTCAGGGACTACCATAAGGCGTGGATTTTTTAAAGAATATTTTTTTAGGGACCACCACATGGCGTGGATTTTTTAAGAATATTTTTCAAGGGACTACCAGAAGTCGTGGATTTTTTAAAGAAATATTTTTTCAGGGACGTGGATTTTTTAAAGAAATATTTTTTCAGGGACGTGGATTTTTTCAGGGACTCTAACAAGGCGTGGATTTTTTAAAGAATATTTTTTCAGGGACTACCATAAGGCGTGGATTTTTTAAAGAATATTTTTTCAGGGACTACCATAAGGCGTGGATTTTTTAAAGAATATTTTTTCAGGGACCTACCATAAGGCGTGGATTTTTTAAAGAATATTTTTTCAGGGATTACCACAAGGCGTGGATTCAGAGACTGCCAGAAGGCGTGTATTCAGAGACTACCAGAAGGAGTGGATTCAGAGACTACCAGAAGGCGTGTATTCAGAGACTACCAGAAGGCGTGGATTCAGAGACTACCAGTAGGCGTGGATTTTTTTAAGAATACCTTTTCAGGGACTACCACAAGGCGTGGATTTTTTAAAGAATATTTTTTCAAGGACTATCAGAAGGCGTGGATTTTTTAAAGAATATTTTTTCAAGGACTATCAGAAGGCGGGGATTTTTTTAAGAATATTTTTTCAGGGATTACCACAAGGCGTGGATTTTTTTAAGAATATTTTTTCAGGGATTACCACAAGGCGTGGATTTTTTAAAGAATATTTTCTCAGGGATTACCACAAGGCGTGGATTTTTTTAAAGAATATTTTATGAGGGATTACCACAAGGCGTGGATTTTTTAAAGAATATTTTTTCAGGGACTATCAGAAGGCGTGGATTTTTTAAGAATATTTTTTCAGGGACTGCCAGAAGGCGTGGATTTTTTAAAAGAATATTTTTTCAGGGACTACCAGAAGGCGTGGATTTTTTAAAAGAATATTTTTTCAGGGACTACCAGAAAGCGTGGATTTTTTAAAAGAATACCACAAGGCGTGGATTTTATAAAAAAATTAATATAAAAATATTTTGTTTTCTTTTTAGGACAAATATTATAAATATTTTACAAATATCGATTTCAATATCAAATGCCGTACTGCCTTTCTGAATGAAGAAATCACCCTGGCGAACTGATTATGCCATTATTGCTATTTAAACCCCACCAGACTTACTCTTCTCCGCAAAGTCATAACGTTATGTTACTGGAGCACAATAATTGTTTAATTAAAAATAGACTATTAGCAATCAATCAACAAGCTTCTCCAGCCAACGTAGAGGAACCAGAAACTGGAAATTGCCAATCTACAAAGATGTCAACACCTTCAGCGACTGGAGCTAAATACAAACCATCGACAACGGATGCCAATAAAGTAACGAGGACAGCATTGGAGGCAGCTAATCTTTACCTGCAGCAGCAACAACAGCAATTTCAGCGTCAACAACAGCTTCAGCATCGTCAGCAGCAGCAACAGCACCAACATTTGTTGATGCAACAACATATGTTGCAACAAAATATTCTGTCAGCAGCGAACTCTACATCCCCTCTGCAACATTTGAATAATATTTTTGGTTTGAATTTCAATCCAACACCAACGCAACCACAACAGCTTCCTCCAAACCAATTACCTTCGATATCACCAGCCACTACAATGCCCTTAGCCGCCACATCGATTTTCCATATTCAAAATAATTTACAACATTTATTGGCTGGCATTACAGCCCCACAACAACAACAACATCAGCAGCAACAACAACAATTTAATCAACTCTATCAAGAATTCTATGGCAACATGTTGCCCCAGCCCCAGCACTATCACGAACAGCAAATGTTGCGTGATCTAATCCAGGCAACATCCACAGCTCAGACGGACGTACTTCCGGCTAATAGTGTGATTAAATGTGAAACACCCATAACGACAACAACAACCAATACATCTCATGAAATGCCGCCAACACTTTTGGCCACCAAAGTTGCCGCTGTGGCTGCTGCTGCCGCTGCCGGTGTGACACCACTGCTGGTGGATAACAACAACCCGACTGGTGGCAATACACCAAAGACCGGTGGTGATAACGATGCTCATGGCGGTGATATTGGCGGCGTTGCTCTCAATCATAACGATTGTTGTCGAAGTAATATGGCTTCATTAGAGCAACAACATAATGAGTCGACGCACGCCAACCAAAAACATCAACACCACCATCAGCCGTCGCCGCCGCCCAGTCAACAATTCCAGTCGTGGATCGACGAGCCACCACCACCACCACAGCAACAGGGTAATAACAAATTGCCCAAAGCACAGTCGGCCACCTCACACCATCAGACAGCAACAACAAGCGAACCGACAACCAGACCACCAACAACAGCAGCTACAGGTGGAGAACCACAACAACCATCAACATCAAGTCGGTCTTTGGCCACAAATAACAGCACCAACAACAACAACAAGAAAACATCATCTGATTTGTCGGAAGCTGACATTAAATGTGAGGTTGTTTCGGTTGCTGCGACCGCTAGGTCTGATGATATCGGTGTTTGTAATGCATCATCAATGACATTTCAGACACCTGCTAATAACATAACAACAGCAGCAACAGCAACAACACCAAGTACAAGTGGGGTTAATACTACAGCTTCGAACATCGTGAAATTAGGTAAGTACAATTTTTTGCTTGTTTATTTTATTTACATATTTTTTATATAATTTTAATAAAATAAATTAAAATATTTATAATCCACTTTGACCCATTTAAAGCAACATTAAGGCACATTTAAAGTAGCTTCGAGAAATAGGTCAAATCCGGGGTATTAGCCATTATAGCATCCATACTAAGATTGTAAGTTGGGGTTCTCGCAAAATTTGTTTAGGATCCAATTTAGTACCGCCGAACGAAATACGATATTTTCAAGGCATCTTGTAGACGTGGAGTTTTCAGAATATTTTTTTTTTTCAATAACTTATCGGTTTGAAGTAAAACCAGTAATATGATACCCTTCACCACTATGTGTATATTAAAAAGATGCATCCTAACACAAGGGCCATTAACACAACATTGGATGAACTAAAATATGTGACCTTTATCTAAATGTGAACCGACTTAGATAAATCCATAAACACGTCATTAATCTGTTTCAATGGGACAGAATTGTGTAAATCGATTTAAAGCAAATATCAATCGGGCATCCGTTGAATATTTGGAGTCCAATTAACACGAAGTAGGTCGGAAATATATATGGGCTACATCTGTACTTCTACACGAAGAGTCTGGTGCACCATTCACTAAAAATCGGATGAAAATAAATATGGAAGCTATATCCCAATATGAATTTCTACGAAACTTGTCACAGGATAGGTTACACGAATTTATGCACGTTTTGTTCCTAATGGACATATTTTGGGTCCTTGGCTCCAACTTAAAATCGGACGAAACTGTATGGAAGCTATATCTAAACCTGGACGGATTCCAACAAAACTTGCTATCTTAAGTACGTTGTGCAAAATTGTGTGGCAATCGGCATAACATTGGAATTTGGTGAACCATTTACCTCAAATCGGTCGAACATATATATGGGAGCTATATCTAAATCTGAACCGATTTTCAAGAAAATTTACAAATATCATTCTTGTCTCAATTCAGTACGCCATGCCAAAATACGTGCAAATCGAAAATCCCTATATACCATTTACAATAAATCGGTCGAACATATATATGGGAACTATATACAAATCTGAACCGATTTTTTCCAATTTCAATAGGGTTCGTCCGTGGGCCAAATGAATGAGCTGTGCCAAATTTCATCCAATTCGAATAATAAATGCGACCTGTACTTTGTTTACAATTTAACATGGACAGACAGACGGACGGACGGACAGACGGTCGGACATACGTAAATAGACTCGAAAGTGATTCTATGCATATTCTTAAACGGAACCATGGGTCTATATCGATTCCTTTTGCCTGTTACAAACATATGCACAAAGACATAATACCCTGTACCACAGTGTGGTGAACAGGGCTGCCAGATTTGACGATTTATCGTCATTTTGACGATTTTTTGGTCAAAAATTGAAAAATGACGATTTGACGATTTTTGCCCAAAAAATGGCGATTTTTGGTCATTTTAGTAATATCGCAATATTTGGGTTCTTTTTGTTATGGCAACATCAAAAATGTATAAAGTGAAAGAAAAAGTAAAAAGAATTTGAATATTTGGCATATGTGTGTGAGGTATACTTTGTACTGTTACAAAGCCAACAACAGTTTATGTTTACCCAGATAGATGAAAAACTACCAATCAGCTGTGCCGTTCTCTGGGTAGACAGCAACAAAACAAATAAAAGTTAACGGTTGTTGTTTTTTGACACGGGCAAATTGAAGAAAATTGGTGAACGGAAACGTTGTTATATTAAATTTAAGTTTCAATTTATACAATGTTATTACAATTTTAAAAAGATTCGATTTGAAAGCATTTTTAAAATTGTATCTATGATAAGTCCCACATATATTAGTAATGAAAAGAATAATTCATTTTTCGATATCCTTAAAGAATTTCCACATTTTGTGAACGAAGATGAAAAACAAAAATTGGATTCAGAATTTCGCGAACTAAAGTTGTTTGATTTTGATAACATTTGTGAAAATGATGAAACCGATTTATTTCGTTTTTGGAATGCAATATTTGATTTGAAACGTGGTGATGGTTCATATGTTTTTCCTATAATAACTAAATTTGTACGGAAGTTAATTGTATTACCGCATTTCTCAGCAAATGTTGAGCGTGTTTTCAGCCAAGTAAATCTTAATAAAACGAAAAGTCGAAATTCCCCCAATAAGGATTCAATGGAGAAATTTATACCAAAGATTATTTCAAAGTTAACAAAACAAATTGTTATGATGCGTTGAAAATGATTAACACAAATATTTCTTTTCAAAATGAATGACTTTATTAAAGTCGAAATGACTATTCAAATATTTATTTATAAAATAAATTAATTTCTTGATTAGCTTTAAAAAACGTGTTTAATAAATTGAATACCTCTTTTATGGGTATTTTAATGAAAATATTAAATATATCTAAATGTACCTATTTAAATTTTTGACGATTTTTGATAAAAAAAATCGTCATTTTGACGATTTTTCCAAAAAAAAATCTGGCAGCCCTGGTGGTGAAAGGTATAAAAAGAAATATATTTGTGACAATTCTCAAGGCATGGATTTTTAATAGAATATGATGATGGGCATAAATATTTTAACGATTTTGGATTTTGTTTTTTACGGCCCAGTAAGAATTTGGATTTTGTATGATTTTTTTTAAATCCCAATTACCCTACCTAACAGCTTTGTGTGGCTCAAAAAGTTTGTAACACCGGTCGTCATATATCGACTTGCTGAGCCGATAAACACACGGAGAAGTCTGGCTATTTTAATGACAATCCGCAAAGAATGCAAAATATGCATTTTACTTCAGAATTACTTAAAGTGGAGAACCCATCCAATACGAGTGGTTGACCTTTAAATTGATATCAATTTTATTGATAGGGATAGGGTAGTTATACGCCAATGTTAACATGTGTCTATTTATTCTGATATAATTCAGTATTATTTAGTATTACGCTAGATTCTTATTCGGTTCTGGTGGGATCTGAAAAACACATCGCAATGGATGTTTTGATAACGGCCGGTCAATATGTATCGGTAAAGAGGTCAGAGTAAGACAGAGCAGCTGATTCCTCTAATCGGTAATAATTCGTTTCAAGAGCCTTGGCAAATCGAACATTTCTTCTATACATACTTAAATTTCTTCTATACTTTCAACAATTATACGTCCAATATCAGGCGAATGGAATGTCCGATTTGAATCAAACTTTGCACAACCTATTAACATTACAATGTCTACATCAAGTTCGAAGATTGGACCCATTGGTCCACTACTTTTGGTGCCTCCCCCACAAAGGGCCAACATTTTCAATAATTGTTAATCCAATTTTAGGCCAATGGATTGTTCGATTTGAACCAAACCTTGCACAGCCTACTATCTTTACCAAGCCTAGATGAAGTCCGAAAATGGGACCCAATCTTACTCTTCCTTCTGGTACGTTCCCCACACAGGGTCATATTTCTCAATATTTATAAATCTAATATCAGGATATTCCATTGTCCGATTTGACCCAAACTTTACTTATTTTGATTATCATTACCACACTAGAAGGAATATATTTGACGCTGATCGATTTGAAATTTTAGACGAAATTCCGGCTATGGTCAAAGACCGACATCTATAATATTCGGAGATGATCACATGATATTTAGGGAATGAAATGACCAAAAACGTAGTTGTTGTTCAAGTTGCTCTATAGTTCACAATGATTAGCCAAACATTACAATCGGCCAATATTCAGCGGGCCAAATCAACCAAGACCTTTTTGTGTAAAATGACAAAATTTGCATTTTATGCCCAGGAAAAATATTACGAAATATGCCAGGGTAAGGAAGAGGGTCCTGGGAATATAGATCTGCCGAAATATTTGTTCTAACAACTCTCATAGTTGAATATTTATTTTTTTGTTTACAACTCTCATAGGCACCCATTATTATACTCTCGGAGGACTGTATCCTAAAATATAATATTTTCAAGGCATGTATGTAATCATGATATGGCGTAAATCCGATTTTTTCGGACTTATAACAAGGTGTGTGTTTACGCCGTCCGCCATAAAGTGGAGGGTATATTAACACTTTGAACCCCGAATTTTTTCCGCAATCTTAGAACAAATTTCTGTTCACAGATTTAATGCAATTATCCTAAATAGGATATGCATACAATTTTACATTTCTACATCCTTGCATTCGGGAGATACAGTACATTCTTTTGGAAAAATTAAAGTCCAATATCAAGAAGACCAAATGCAAAATCGAAAGAAAAAGCATTTTAAATTATTCCCTATATAAATTTTTACAAGAATCAAAAATAATACTGATGGCAGAATTCGTACAATTTGAATACGAAACTATTTAAATAATTTGGACTATATACACAAATTAGTACTGTACACAAATTTACCCTCTTCTCTATATTGAAAAACTCATAACTTTAGCAAAATTTTTTTTTCTTTTGATATGTGTCGTCCATAATCAGGTCTTGAAATAATATAGATACATACATCGTTTCACCATGTGCCAATATTATCAAAATTTCAATTTCACTATGAAGTGAATGAGCACCCGATTTTCTCCATTAATTGCACATCCTAATGTTTCTACTAAAACTTGACTAAGTTTCGAAAAAATTCGGAATCGGGCTTTTTAGATCCTGTTTCGAATTTATTACCATATCCTTAATCGTAATAAAAAGCTTTCCTTTAATCGTTTACACGCTATTTTTTAGTATTTGTAGTTTGACTAAGACATGTACATGCAAGATTTAAACAGCCAACTTTAATATAGCAAATAATAAGTAGCTTTAATATTTGGCATATTAAGGTCGGCTTGCTTTAAACCTGTACAACACTACTGATCTCATTTTGGTAAATTTTTGGCAATTTCCTGTTTGTTTGAACAGGGTAATTCAGCGCTCATATCAAAAAGTCACGAATATACCAAAAAACGTCGGCTAATGTATGCTATATTTTAAATTATCATTAAGGTCTAAATAT